AGAATTCTTATTCTGCAATAATTGGCTGTTGTACCGTACCATTCTGCATTTGAAAATAATCATGTTTAAGTATATACAACGCTGGTGATAGCTCTTTTAAATGGGGAATACACGAATAATTAAATGGAAAAAGGGGAGTCGACTTGGGACACCAATAAAAAAGATTTAAAGTGTGGTGTTATATACTACCTCCTGTCCTAATTATAAGACCCAATTGACTTGTTTGAGGAGATTAAGGAAGTAAGTTAAGTTAGTTTTTGTAATAAATAAGTGTTGTCATTCCTAAAATATCCTTGCTAATTAAGTATATTGGTTAGAACTATCATTATTAGAAGGATTATCTTGAAAAAAATGCATAAATATGAGAGACAAAATGGATTGGGATCTTATAATTAGGACCAAATAAAAAGTCAAACGGGTCTTATAATAAAGACCGGAGGTAGTATAATAGTGCTCAAACATGTCATTTTTGCTTTTGTGGCATAAAAAAAAATTTTGAAAAGAAAAACGTGAATTTTGAGGCGTTGGTGGTTATGGAAGTTCTCTATTATTTATTTAATTACTCCCATGAAAAAGTATTATGATTTTATTTTTAAAAACATTCAAATAATAATAATGCATGGATCATTATATTAAATCAAATGAATAGTTGAATGGATGGATAAGACTGTGAATAAAAATGGATTAAGAAAAAATAAAGACGAAAGTTAATCCTGCGACGCCGTGATTTTTTCAGAGGGTGCAACAATGCATGTAATTTGAAGGGGTCACAAAAGTTTCCAGCTTGGGCGGCTGCGTTACAGGGAAACACACGAATGTTTGGCTCTTCAATTCTCTATTCCAATATCACTGGATGTCTTCCAACAGATGACTTTTAAATTTTTTTTAACCGTGTTCACTTTTAAATTCATCATAATGTTGATCTTTGACTTGGCAATTATTGTATCGTTCCATGAGATATTATCTGTCAAGCCTCTATCTCATAATACAATATATTATTATTTTAAAATATTACAATATTTGTTTATAATTATTTAATATTAAACTCCCAAATATCCTTAATCATTCGACGCCAACTCAGGAGGCATACGGGGCATAAATAGTGGGGTTAACGGTTTGGGTTTTTGTTTCTCACGTAAATAATAGTGGGGGGTTTTAATTTGTTTCTTGTCCACTTTTGTACAAGGAATAAATTTACTTTGAAAGGAACTGTTAGTTATTCTCTGTATTGCAAAAAGAAATTAGTTTTACTATAGACAAAAGAAAAGTACCGCTGATATAAAAAAAAAAAAAACACGATATTAATTGCCGGAATAATTGGTAAAAAGTTTTCAAGGAATTTCGTGGAGAAATGGCAGCGTTAGTTTGATTACGGTTGGATGCGCAGGATCATCTTTTGTCTAAGGCAGATTGTTGGTTTTGTTCTCTCTCTTAGGATAAATATTCGATGCATGTCTATATATCACACTTTTCGTAAAAATAACCTATATTTAAATAGGATAAAACTTGGGTTGTACTCTTAGGATGTTTCTTGTGGGGAGAAGAAAGGATGAATATTTGACTGATAAGTCGTTAAGTGATTTAATTTGATTTAACATTTAATGATGCAGTCTTTCATGGAATAATTCAATTTTATTTTCAATGAGCTGATGATTTGTTGTTTGTTACAACTTGCTCTCATATATAACTATGTCTTATCACTTTAATTCAAAGACAACCCCTTTTTTTTTTTTAAGGCGTAATATCTCGAAAACACGATTTCAATATGGAACCATGAAGGTTTACTTAGGAAAATCAGGAAACTGTAGTTCTCATCTTTAATTCGTGAGATGGATTTTAAGCATCGAGGTCACAGGTTAAGAATCTCAAATCACACAAAAACACTTTTTTTTTTTTTGGGAGGTGGGGGGAGGGACATTTACGAGTTTATAGGGAAGATTGCTGCCCTTTTTTGTCCTGGGATAAAATAAATGCAGCCGGGGATATTATCGGTTTTGGAAGTATATTCTCGAAATATTGACCCTCCTGGTCAGGGTTTATTGTCCTCCATTATTATTTTGTGGAAATCAGGAATTCTTAAAAGCCTGTGAAATGCTCAGCTTTTTGAACGCGTGAAAAAACAGACGGAACGAATGGATCAATGAAAAATCAAAGGAACTTTTTTAAAAATAAAATAAGAAGTCAGACTCAGACAGGCTCGTGTTGAATTTGTCACTACCCTCTAATATTCAACAAACTTATGCCTTGCGTAATAAATTTGAAATCGTCTCTAACTTGTGGAAGTAAGTGTGGTGTATCAAGCGAGTAGCAGGGTTCCGCGTAGTCTCTATTGAACATGTCACGCCGTTAAATCACGTAAGCTTTACTCCTAATTATAGTTTATAAATTAAGCCCCTGATATTCACAAGTTGAGTTTTATAGTTTAATATCATTCCCAGCAGTTTACCCGATCATAGTTAGTTAGTTAATTATCAACGTGGCTTCTTCATGATCCAATGGCAATCACATTATATGCACGATGCAAATGTCGCCTCAGGAAACTTGTTACTTATCAAATTAATTAACCTGGTTAAACAATATTATGGCGCTAATTATTTATTTTCGTGGATGAATCAGTTACCGACTTAGATTATTTTACGTCTTCCACTTTTTTTTTTGGGGGGACATCACCTCTGTATATGACAATCGCTTGCGAGCGACGACTTTTCACGGCTGTCTTGTTTGCTTTGATCAGCTCGATGCTTACGCAAAAGAGATGACACATCAGTGGCTACCGCTACCTACCGTTAGTTTTATAATTAAGGTCTGGAGGTAGTATTTAATTTTGTTAGCTTATGCTTTCTCTATACGGCCATCAGTGAAACCGAGCGTCTCCCCTTCACATTCGGTGCGCCGGTGCTACGAATATGCATATCTCTGAAATTAGACCCTTCCATGATTCATCTCCAGTTGCTGGACTGGGCTCTTAATCATAAGTATTACCGAATGCAAATTTTGTGTGCGCAAGAGTATAAATACTGCGACTGATGAGACCCTTGTCACTTTGCAAATAATTTTTTCCAACTTTCCCTTTATTCTTTGCGTCCTTTAGAATACTGGTAACTGCAACATGCTGCCTTTTGAATTCCTGCTCCTCCGATATTTATTTACTACAGTCTGATGAATATCTTGGGCATTATAATTGAAGTATTATTCTATTAGAACCAGTTTTGATGCTCATTGTTATGATGATTATTATAAACTCATCAGGTCTGGATCGTCTATATCTCATTTAGATGGTCCAATTTTTATTTATTTAAAATAATTATTTTAATATGTATAAAATCTAAAATAGAGATAATTTTTTAAATGTCATTCTTTCAAAAAATAGTTTTTTTTGCATTTAAAAATGATTAAATAAAGATTTTAAATTTAAAACCGTTCAAATCAGATATAAACCATTCATATTTGATGAGTTTATGATACTCATCAAAGCGAAACTGGTTGCTTATTATATTTTGTTTTCCGCATTTTGAGTTTTAGATTACGACAAAATCCTTCCGCGATGAAAACCCTTTCATCCATATCACATTCTCTTATATCCATACTAAATATGGCTTAAACGTTTAAGAAGTATGAGAGGAGTAAGTAACAATCTAAATTTTGCATGCATAACAACCATGCATAAAAATGCTGACGGAAAAAAAAAAGAACCATGCATAAAAAGAAATTAAACAATTTGGAAATTAAGAAGAAAAAAGCGCGGGAAAGGTCAGGTGATTATGGGCTTCAAAATTCAGCTTCTCTATTTCTTTCCTTCTTCCTTCTTTTTTTATACAGGGCCACACCGATCAGCCATGCATGCAGAGAAAACATGGTCAATATATGTCGGTAATCAAAATATCCCTACGCCCCAAAGGAAGAGAATAATGAGCTCTAGAAGCCATGTCTGAGAAATGAGCGTGATGGACACGGTTAAATCCTAATGGGGGAATCTGCTGATCACCCCTTTTAATGGTATAACTCCATTTCGTTGGTTAAAAAAATGCAACTCCATTTGATTTATAGATATTAAAGTTTTAAAACTTATCCATATTTACATTTCTTACAACTAACTTGTGCTAATTTTCACTACTGACATTCTCATTCTTAACTCCTCTTCAATCGGAAGACTACCAGCGAATATTTTGTAAGGGAAAAAACAATTAATAGGGAGTACAGACCCGGACAACAATGAACAGGGGCCTGTTATCGTGTTATGATGAATGACTGTTTTTTTTAACCAAGGATGTGCAGCCCCTAACAAAAATTTGGATCCTACTAATTGAGTTTCTTCCTTTCTTCTTCGCCTAAGGAGTGAACGAACAGAGGCCCGTTAGGCGTTATCGTAACTTTTTTTTTTTGGGCCAACCACTCAATTGAGTAGCATTAATAATCGAATAATTATATTAACTCTCGATAATTATAAGATCTTATTTGTAAGCTATAAACAGATCTTATAATTAGGATTTAAGGCGGTATTTTTTTCAAAAAAAAAAACAAAGAAAGGCTTTTATTTCCAAGTCATTAGATCACAATTTATCTAATGGTTGATACTGCTCAATTCGAGCATCCAAATCCTCCGAACAATCCCTGATCCGATCCAAAACCCGGACGACTAATCCCCCAACAAATCCGCCTGTGCCTGTCCTGATCAGGAAAAAGAGCCCAAATGGGTCTGGTCACCAGTGGCCCGAAAAGAAAAGAACCAATTGTACGTGACCTTGCTGTTCCCCATGATTTATTTGGAGTGCAGTCTTCCACAGAACATCTTGAATTGAATTACAAAAGCCATAATATCCAGCCCTTTGATGGTTGCTTTCGGAGCAGTTCATGATACGTGAGATTCGCAATCACATATCTACCCTGAAAACAACATTAAAAGGCACATAGTTGGATGATTATTTGAGGGAATTTCCATTTCTCCCTACGCATTCTTTTTGGGGGTTTAGAAATTGCAGACTCAGAAGATTCTCAAACTAATGGGGGAGAAGAAGCATAGTGAGAATGGCAACGATAGAAACACTCAAATCAACGGAGTGATGATCACAGTCTACGTCGAATCATCAACGACCCGATCACGAAAGCAATCGGATCCCGCGAAGAAATCAAAGCGACGCCCACAAATCAAAAGGTCGCGAACTTCACAATCGCAAGGCTACGATCGTCGGGCTCTGCTACTTGCCTATTCGAGACAGCTAAGAAATGCGGGATCGGAATGCCGAGATGTTCGAGTGCCCTCAACACAAAAATCGAGGCATAAAAGCAAGGTATGTTCTTCAATGGGTTGTCATTGGAAATTCCAGTTAAGTCGGATGTAAATATCTGCCATTAAATTTGGATTTTGTATCTTGCGTTAGGAGGAGAATTGCTCGTGGTTTCAATTCTGCCCCCCGTCGTCGCGAATGCTCCGGCGTTCCAATGGCCGGTGGACATACGATCGCGTGCCGTTCGTTGAGAAGGAAGAATTGAACCAATCGAGGAAGAAAAAGTCCAACGGAATAACCAATTCTCCGTTTCTGGTAATGCGAGATTTCGCTTTGATTTTCGTTTTGTTTCTATTAATGTCTCAGGGTGGCGGAATCTATTTGAAATATAATTCGTTATTTTGTTTTCTGATTTTGCTTTTTGCAGAGAAAATTGAAGGGCATGCTGAAAGAGATGTCATGCAAGAAAATAACGTTATAAGGGGGATGGATCATGATAGGGTTGAAGCTTTCATTTGATTTGGCGTTGGGTTTCACTCAGAACTTGTTGGTGTGAAAAAGAGTTTTGCCTTTTGACGCTGATTCGGTTTCATCGATATGTTTGGCACACGTATTAATAAAATCCATTTTATGATATTATATTAACTTCACTTACCTATATTTTCCCCTGAATTTCAATTTACAAAAACCCCCCGGGGACGAGGAACAGGGAACAGATTTTTTTTTTTTTTTGGGGCAAAAGTATTGGAATAGCCTGAAGAAAAGCAACACAAAACGTGGGGAAAAAAAGGATCTTGATCGGACATTCCATTAGATATAGATATAGAGATATTTAGCTAGGAACCAAACCATGATTTTTAAAATGATTTTACATTATACCAAAAATAAAATAAAAAACAAAATGATTTTATATATAAAAAATATAAGAAGAGTTTTATTTTGATTTGCATATTATAATAGTAACCAAACACCTCAGCAGCTTGGAATTAGTGTGAAATCTATGAAAAAAAGCTGATGATAGCTCCGCCTTTTCAATTCAGCCTAGAGCCACTGGTACAAGAAGACAAAGTTAATGGGACTATATTGGAACAAAGAATGAAGCACATGCAAAACCTAAAATAAATGAATATGCATGGTGACTGCTGCATGGGGGGCGAGTGCAGACGAGAGCTGTTCCCCGGGATTTTTATCAAAATGCTACACACAGTAAATAAATTACCAGGATGCTACACTATGAAAAGTATTTCCCTAAATGCTACACTCAAACTCGTTCACCACAAAACGAGTTCAAATTTTCAAAGAAATCGTTCAAGGAAAGAACGAGTTTCATGTCTGATAATTTTTTTTTAAACAAGATCGAAACTCGTTCAAGGCATGAACGAGTTTAGCCTGTCAGAGCGTCTGAGTCTGCTTCTTCTTTTCCTCTTTCATTTCAGCAAAATTTACAAACAAGACCCATACCACCAACACATTCTTCCTTTTTCTTTAGACTTCGGAGAGAATTGCAATTAATGACCCAACTCCTCCCCAACCACCGCTTTTGTTTTTTTCCTTTGCCCTTCGGTCTATATTTCCAAAAAATATGAATCAATTTTACTTTACATCCTAATAATTAAATTTTTAAAAATATATAAAATAAATTTATTGAATATAAATTATTTATCAATATGATATAATATATGCAAAATTTACGCCTATTTAATATAATCATTGGACAGATTGAAGGTCAAAGATTATGAGGGAATGAGTGGTGTTAAAATTTATTAAAATTAGACACAATAATTATATACAACTGCCTTGTAGCATTCTTGTATATAAATTTTTTTACAGAAATTATGTACATTTATGGAACAATTTATGGAAAAATAACAGCCTTGTAACAATTTTTTTACAGAAATTGATACCGGCTAAAATGATATCTTGCAAACAAATATTTACAATATATACTCAGATGCCGCATGCATCAAGACAGCCTTGTCATGATTTAATGACCATTTATTTATATTAATAATTCAAACACGTTTAATTTGTAGCTGATGGACAAATTCAAAGTTAGATTATGAATATTGTTAAATGTACATAATTTCTGTAAAAAAATTTTTATATACAAGAATGCTACAAGGCAGTTGTATATAATTATTTGTGTCTAATTTTAATAAATTTTAACACCATTCATTCCCTCATAATCTTTGACCTTCAATCTGTCCAATGATTATATTAAATAGGCGTAAATTTTGCATATATTATATCATATTGATAAATAATTTATATTCAATAAATTTATTTTATATATTTTTTAAAAATTTAATTATTAGGATGTAAAGTAAAATTGATTCATATTTTTTGGAAATATAGACCGAAGGCAAAGGAATAAACAAAGCGGTGGTTGGGGAGGAGTTGGGTCATTAATTGCAATTCTCTCCGAAGTCTAAAGAAAAAGGAAGAATGTGTTGGTGGTATGGGTCTTTGTTTGTAAATTTTGCTGAAATGAAAGAGGAAAAGAAGAAGCAGACTCAGACGCTCTGACAGGCTAAACTCGTTCATGCCTTGAACGAGTTTCGATCTTGTTAAAAAAAATATATCAGACATGAAACTCGTTCTTTCCTTGAACGATTTCTTTGAAAATTTGAACTCGTTCTTGTGATGAACGAGTTTGAGTGTAGCATTTAGGGAAATACTTTTCATAGTGTAGCATCCTGGTAATTTATTTTACTGTGCGTAGCTTTTGATAAAAATCCCGCTGTTCCCCCATTTACTGTGGGGGATCGGATTCCACAAAGTCATACGGCTGATTCCCCAAGAAGCAGACAATCATTTCCAAGCGATCATGTAATCCATCCGTCTCGATAATGACACGTGTACCCTCCCATTTCCTTTCAAAGGCGGTTGAAATGCCATATCTTAGGAATCGGACAACGCATCCGTCTATATGGTGATCGTTGCGAAGGAGTGTGGCACGGCGGAAGACGGCGGATACGAAGACCCCCCCTTTGAACACAAGCATTCCCATTAGAGCCAATGCAAATGCTTGAATCCAGTTTTGAAAAGTGGGACCGCGTGGGGCCTTAATTCAATGGTTGAGATTTTTTCCCAATCATTTACTCGACTGCAGATGATCCTCATCCCCGTCCCTGGCGAGACATTCATGGCTGCCAAATGGATCCCTGCTCACTCACCCCACTCTCCATTTGGAATCAGCTAAATCTCAACTTTCAGTCTTACGATATTTCTTTTCTTATTGTAATAGACCTCAGTCATTGTTCAGACAAAATTATAGTATTTTTCATTTTTATTTACACACACACACACACTACGGGTAACGTTTAACTGAAATTAGATGTCACTAGTATATTTTCAATTACCACATCTTAAACACATGGCTTAGTCAAATACAGATTTAATAATTTAATTAATTACTATATCATGCGAATAATACATACAGTCAATTTTAACGGAAATTGAATATGACCATAAATTTTTTTTTTTTTGGGTTCAAGAAAACAATACTTTTTAAATAGAAAATGGGGGATGCAAAAATATCGGACAAAAATACATCCCGCCCTGTTCTGTTCAACGCATGTCAAACTTCTTGAGGACGATCTCTCTTTCAGAACAGAGAGGCGGCAACCTCAAGTGTCAACCTCTAAACAGATATTAATGCATCCGTTGAAGTTATACGAATCGCCATTCCCTAACTTTTCCCAGCCACGACACCCGCTTCCTTCTCCGACACTCTCATATCGTCTTCACTAACCACCAACTCTGTTCACGCATTAGTGGTCTCTCTTTCAAAAATTTAACTATTTTTAGGCGTCATCATATACATAATTATTATGGCTTACCATAATGAAACAAACCATCGAAGCCAGGATTGAACCAACTTCCTGAAACCAGCTAGAAGTTAAACCAACTGACCGTGGCAATAGAAATAGTCGGTTCGAGGCCATTCCATGGTTTCATCCATTAGTATCACTAGCAAAGATAAATTATTGTACAATAGCTGTACATGAAGCAGAAGGTTAGAGGACAGAATTCAAAAGGCAAATATTTGGGATATCTTCCCCATCATCGCCAATTGCCTGTTTAATTTAGCAACGTATGATCAAATGACAGGCGCAATGACCTGATCTCCTGAACCGAAACTGCCTAACCAGGAGGCAATAAGAACCCTGAAAATTGCCTTCTTCACAGTCTGTTTGAAAATCTTTAAATGACGATAATCATATGACACTCCAACATTCTACAGACGCAATGATTCAAATCCACACGGTGGGGTCAGCTGTTATACCTTGCCAATAAATAAATAAACATTCATTGGCATCCTAGCAAGATAAGTTGTGGCAAGATCATGGAGAAATGCTACCAAGTGACTTTCTACAGCAGAACAGAAGAAGCACAGCTCTTTCCTCGCATTGTCCCATACTTTTAAGTTAAAACTTACCTGCTTGCATTAGGTAGCCTATGCCTTCGCCTTCTTCTTGACCTTCCTCCTAAGAGTATCCTGTGGAATCCACGCCTGGAGGCAGCAGCGGGACCTGTAGGAGCAACACGATTCAATTCAAAATGATCCATATCCAGTGAATCATATTCAAAGCCCCGACCATAACCAATGCTCGACAAAAAAGGCCTATTTCTTCCTAAACCAATCGACCTCATGGAGAAGAAATCATCATCCACATATTCCTCCTCAGATTCAGAATCAGAATCAGAATCAGAATCACTATAGAAGGTGTGGTCATTTGGTTCAAGCACATAATCTCCTAGGACCATAGCCCCGGGAGTAGATGACAAAATTGTGCTGATCACATCATTTCGTTCCCTCTCATACTCGAGCCTTTTCCATTTTTCTTTCCGTATAGGATCCACATCTCGTGGTCGTGCACATGGATGCTTTGACCTAACATGCTTCCTAAGCTCCTTGTAAGTGCCCGTAAAAGAGCACTCATCCTGCATGCAGCCTCTTTTCTTCTTATTCAAAAACTTCCGTGCTGCTTCAACAACAGTCCAACCCTTTACCTGCCTACGACAAAGAGGGCAAAGGAGCTCAGGCACCTCTGCGTAGTCACTGCTTTCACCTGCATTCAGATTGGAATTATTCGTTGCCAGTGGCAAACTTTGAACAGGTGCTTTGGTATATGCCTTTTTGTATTGCTCAAAACAATTGGAAAAGCGATGACTTGTAGCGCACATATAAGGGCGGCAACCATTGTTATAAGATGAACAAAGGAGAAGGACTGCATTGTGGGGGACCTCCATACAGACAGAGCAGGTTGCATCTTCCCAGTCTTGCTTCTCAGATGCTTTATAAAAGCTCTTCTCATCATCTTTCAAATTCTTCTGGGAGTGAGATGTTAACGGATATGGAGTTGCCCTGTGACATTGAGAATGGGATTTCCTTTGCACCTTGCCTACTTTAGCCATTTAGAAAACTGAGCCTGAGATTTATCCAAGGGAGAGGAGGAAAAGAATAAAAAAAAGAAAAAGAACAGAGGAGCAAAATTCTGTCACAAATCAAAAGATTACAAAGAATAATTTAAGTGTCTAAAATCCATTTTTTAATACAATTGAAATGAATTTTTGGTACTTCATTTGTTAATTAAACTAACCATGCTTTTTCTGCACCCATCTAAGCCACGAATTATTAATGTCTGAATCTCATTAAGCATAGACATAGAAATACCACAATGTCTTATTCCTGGCCCTACCTATGAGCATTAATCACAAGGTTCATATCTAAACTATTTAAAAGAGGGCAAAACCCCCAGCGAACTGTAGCATAAGCTCCTTACCCAATTTAAACACACAATAACAGCAAAGTACATAGGTCGAAGACAAAAATGTAACCAACTAACTTCATCGTCATGGCAGTTGCAAAGAAGTTCAAGGACATGTAAACAAATGAAGCAACACAACTTCATCTTTTCTTTATTTTGAAATTCTTTATGCATTTCCATTTTAATAATGATGCATAACATACAAATAAAAATTTGAATATGAAAAATGAGCACATGCCACTGAATTTTGTAAAGCAAATTATGGGATAAGAAGAAGTAAATAAGTTGAGCTTCGATTGTGAAGCTCCTAAATCATATAAGGATATGAAGGGTCTACTATCAGTCCTCTTTTCAACCACATGCTTTTTTATCATGCAAACTTACTAGCCATGCCAATAAAGCTCGTAAATAAGCAACAAAGGACGCATGCTAAGGTATCATGGTGGATATATTGCCGGCCTGTAGCAGAACTTCCTATACCATAAATTAGCACGATTTATTTTCTATGATTAGGCACTTTGTCGTAAGTAAATTCAGTAGATACGAATCTATCACCAGTGACAAATTGATCAATTTTCAGCAACTACACGTGATATTCGGTAGCATTACTGACTAAAACATATTTTAACCACAGAACATGCTACATATGACAGTCAATTCCCCCGGGGAGGGATTTCTGATCCATAAACTCAATTTATCGTGTGGAAGGGATAATTTGATAAACCCAGTCGGCCAAAAAATTTAACACAGTTGCTTATTCTAACTATCAAAAGGACCAGAATAATCCACTCAGGGAGTGATTAGCATCTCCTTCTCAAGTAGGAATAAGCCTATATGTTATGAAAACAGTTTACAATAACCCAGCAGCATTATTAAGGATAGGATAATAATCGAAGAATCCAAAGGCCATGATCCAAAACAAAAGTTTTCTGCTGCTTATTGATACGAAAGGCAGCATTTTTATTACTTCCTGAAATCGCGTAGCAAGTATGATCTATAAAGATCGTTCATATCCCTTACAGACTGCTACATCTCAAGCCCCATTAAATCATTTTGAGTCCAAGTCTCAAGCAAATAAGGACTTTTAACCCTCACAATTTACAAAGCCGTGATCGGCAACATACTACACTGATTCATTAAAACCCCCCATCACAAATCTAAATTGCAAAGTTGATGCAAATACAAATGTCAAAAATAGGCCCAACATTGCATTAGAATCTGCGATAAGAATCAGACGAATAAACCAAAAGCATCAGGGATCATCAAAACAAAAACTGGGCAAGAGCTGCAAAATGAACTCAGAACTTGATTCCATCAGGAATATTAAGAATAAAATAAAAGATCGGGAGCGACTAATACCTCAGGTACCGCGCCACCGAGAGAAACTATATGTGGTTAGGAGGAGAGCGCCCCGATCCTGGCGCTCACGTTCTTCAAACGGGGGGGAATAAAGAGTAACCCCCACCTGCTGCAGCAACCGGCGTACGAATTTAGAGTTAAGCCGGTACGCAATCTCAATCTCAATGTTGGATATAATAAGAGCTATTGACGATCTGATGCACCCGCCTAGGATTCCTAACCCAAGTAATCTTACATTCCTCCGATGTTTCTTTGGTAAAAGACGCGATAATTCTAGTGTTTGATGAAACTTGAAAGAGATGGCCTGAGCCCATTAGAATTAGGCTGGGCCTTCGAGAGCCCCTCTCTCTCTGGTATATGCTTTTTTTTTTTAAATAATAATAATAATAATAACAAGCGGGGCAAGATCATTCATCATATATAATTTTTTAATATAAAAAATCAGTATTGGAGAGCCTTAAATCTGAAAATCCAGATATTGAAATCAAATTTTTGAATTAAAAAATAGATGAGGAGTTCGTAGATTATTTTTTAAATTTATATTATAATTATTTAAGATGCAGGAGAAACAAACAGGAGGAAAGCAAGGAGCTCAAGAGTGTTAATAATTAATTACAGTAAAAAGTTTTTTTTTGTTTTTCATTTAATTAGAAAAAAAAAACTGAGTATACAAGTTTGTGAGGCAGTCCCCAAAAAAGGTATAGAAACACCCAACACAGGAGGCGCACGCAGAGAAAAATACGAAAAGTTGCTGTGCGAACCCGTCGAGGACCCGCCTCCTTGATCTCTGGCGCTGCACGAGAGAGGGCGGAGAGAGAGAAGATGAAGTGAAGCTAGTCATGGACCTAAGGAAAACATCTCCCTTTCTAATCTCTTTTTTTGGTAATTAAAAAAAATTAGATGAATTGAGTAACCAAGACATGTTTTTAAGCCCTGAGAGTATTTATAAAGATATTTATAAACTGTCCACCAATAAAATTCTTCGCAGTAAGATTTTAACCCGTGATTTTATAAATTATAAGTCAACTCTTTTAACAACTAGATTAACTCTTATTGGCTCTTCAATCTCTCTTGCGTCTCTTCCCCTTTTCTCTCAATTCTGTCAACCTCTCTCTCCCCTCAAGCCAGAGACCAAGACGGACGAAAATGGAGGAGTGGACAGTGGAGGACACTTACTGAGGACAGCGCTGAGACTTATGCGACTCATAAACACATTGGACGGAGATTCATTAGACTTCCCACCTGCCACATCGGATTAAAATACATTGCACATGGTCAGCAGGCGTGACGTACCAAACCATGTAACCAACATTTGTTGCATTTCAATGACCATGATAATTTCTTTTTCACATTTTTCTCAGCTGGGCACTTTCACATCAAAGTAAATTTTACAGTCGTGGAAAAATTTACATTCTAACCCTATTTTGATATGTAAAGGGTAATAAATTGTTAAACAGGATAGGAAAAACTAATTTGGAGGCTCCTATAGTTTATATCAGTTTTGAATCAAGCCCTTGAGCCTTTTTTTGTTTCTTTTTACTAGATCCTTTAACTTTATACTGTTAAAACCATTAGTTCTCACTGTTAAGTGAAAATAGACACTGTTATATTTTTGTTACATCATCTTCTTCCGCACCAATCTTCCTTTCTTATCATCCTTCACATCCCATCCTCTCCTTGAAATTTCTCCAATGCCGCAACATTTCGTAAGAAATAGATTGTTAATCAATTGATCCATAAGGCTCAGCATATATGGGACGAACTTCTTGGTGGAGCAAATAAATCGAATGATCTACTAAAAAAAAAAATTGAATGCATCTTCCAATTAAAATTGCATTGAAGGGAAAAAGTTCACAGGATTTTCAAAAACAAAAGGAGCATTCTATTTAACTCTTGAATCAAGAAAAACTCTCAGAAAAACAGAATCAGTCTTCAATTAGTAATAAGATAGAGGAGTGATAATAGTACCTGGAAAAAAAAAATAGAACAAAATCAAAGGGAGTGATTGAAGGAGCGAGAAACAAAAGGAGTGGAGAAGACAATAGAGAGATGGCTCTAGAGAAGCACAGGGAACAAAGTATGATGAATGAGCTTGTGATTGGATAGACATCGTCAGAGTCATGAGCCTTCTTCCTTCTTAGGAGGCAGGACTTGGGTGAAAAGGTGAGGAGGGATGGTGAGGTCAAGAGAATGTGGCGGGAAAGGAGATGTAATTTTTAACAGTATTTGTTCACATTTAACGATAAGGAGTATTGGTATTAATAGTAAAAAGTCAAAGGCTCTAATAAAAAGAAAAAAAAAGTTTAAGGACCTAATTCAAAACTGATGCAAACTATAGGGACCTCCAAATTAACTTTCCCAATGAGATAAATTGATATTTATATTTTCAGTTCACATTTAAAACCAAAACCAATACCTAACTCTTGTATTTAGATCGAAAGACTATAAACTTTATAGAAGTCTCAACTGTCTATAAATCATAACTAATTTACTTTACCTGACAATTCATTACAAGATATGAATAAGATTGACAAATAATAACTTTGAAGAGATGTAAATTCAGACTCACGACGCATGCCAATGAAGGTAATATGTACAAAAAAATACACTACCCATACACTAATCGCTCGGGCTAAACATACACAAATCTCTCACCACTAACCAATTCAGGCACAACTTTTTACAGCTCGAAGTTGATTCACTGCCTAGCTACAACCATCATTGAATAATTAAATACAAACAGAGCATCCCTCAAACAAGCAACCAAAAGTTTAATTCAAGTGGTTCAGAAAGCTGCTCGATCCTCCTCAGTGAAAAAGATATCAGAACCAACTTGTTTAGTTGGTTTTGGGGAGGCCCGGATCGTTTCTTAGATCCAAGATAATTGTTGAGAAGGAAAAACCTAAAATGCACAGCACAAGCAGCAATTGGAGATTTGCAGGGATGGTGGATCCGAGACTAACTCCAGCAATTTGAAAATTGGCGAACAGAGCTGTCATTATTAGGAAACAAAATATGATAAGCCAGTGGAAGATATATAAGCAATTCTTTGTACAAAAATACGCACAAGGGGAAATACAACGGCAAGTAGCCAGTTAAGAATTGCACCACGGATGGGTTTAGTAGAAAGACTCTGGTCATGTTTAATATGGCTGAAAATGATTTCAAGAAAGCGAGATAGAGATTCCTCATCTTGATGTTTGTTACCCATTATTTAAGTCATCAGGGAATTCATCCTTAACTCATACAAAAGTAGTAGGCCTCCTTCACTTATGTCAAGGAAAGTTCCTTCCTACCATGAAACAAAAAATACGCCATCAATTTTGCCCTCGTATAAAATACTCCGACTATTTTGCCCCTACTTGGTATAAAATATTTCAAGTTCTGTAAAATGAATGTCATTTTATATAAATATTTACATAAGGAAAAAACTTAGATCAAGTTCTTTATATTCATTATGTCAAATTCTTCAATCATGTATGAACATGTGGCCTTTTTTGTTTCATGTAGATTTATAATTAAATACTATTAAATGTTAATACTTCAAGAATAAAACATATGGTCATGTGTAATTGAAAAACCTGGCATAATGGATATAAGGAATTTGGTATAAGTATTGTCCTCTAAATAATATTAGTCTTCTATTGTATATTGAAATAGTGCTCGTGATTCTGGAAGCTCAGCTTGGGTATTTTCATTAACGATATTCATGTCATTTGGTCACTTTGACTCCCAATTTTTCTATTAGTGATTATTTCATACCAAACTTCCAATGCAGAATAAATAAACAAATACAAATAATTTCTTCCCATTTACCCAACACATATTTAGCCCAAAAAATCACAGTTCCATTAGAGTCTTCCATTTCCTTTGAGGGGAGAGGGGAAAAAAAAATCCGTCCTGCTAAACATGGCCTCCATTTCTTTCATTTACCTACCTTTTTAACTCCCTACCAAATAAGAATGACAATAGACTTCGACCCTACTCAAGACTTCTGCACGACACACATATAATGACGCCCAGAATTCACCTTTCAGGCATGCCAGCTATATTTTCTCGCCGGAAAAACTCAATCAGTCATGGCATTCTTAAGGCAAATACAGGTGCTACGTGTAAGAAACTGAGCAATGAAATCAGCTAGTATGGAATAGTTATTACCCAAATGTTTCATACTTTGAGACGACCAGCTAAATTCAACCCCTTCTGGCAGGTATATAAGGAGATGCAGAGCCAGAGAATGTGGAAAGTGGCCTTTGGACAAATTGATGGTTTAAAAGCTGAGCAGCAGTGGGACGATCATTAGGATTGACTTGAAGGCACTGCAGGATAAAATCTCGCGCATCTCTTGAAAGAGAGTCAGGAACAAGCGGCCGCTCACCCTTTCCAATTCTATACAAAGCCTGCATCTGCTCTCAGAAGAAAAGATTCATGAGCTTAAAACCAGGGCAATATCCCATTTGCTAATAAAATAAGAGATAAGTATTTATTTATTGATGTAACCATATGCTACGATATAAATAAAATAGTCAGTAACAGAGATTTCAGAATCAGTTATCGTAGGGAGCTGGAATAGTTAAGAGTTGCTAAGGGAAGACTTCACAATATACTACCGGTCCTTAATATAAGAATTAGCTTGACATTTAATTTGGTTCTAAATATAAGACTTCAATTCACTTTGTCTCTCGTATTTATCTACTTTTCCTCAAGGTAGTCCTTATAGTAATGGTAGTTCTAGCTAATACATTTGATTAGTAAGGATATTTTAAAAAAGACAACAACTATTTATTATAAATAACTAACTTAACTAATTTCTTTAATTTCTTCAAATTAGTCAACTAGCTTTTTATATTAAAGACCAAAGGTAGTATGTAGGAACCTCAGTATGAATGCAAATGTGTACATTGAATAAAAGGAATCTCTGGACTCAGAATTATGCACCACAAAACCATTAATGAACCTGCTTTCTACCAAACGTGAAAGTGAAGGCGGAGCTACAGATATAAATAAAATACCAAAGCTAACTTATATAATAAATATGAGTAACATTTCCAAATTGACATTGAATTGCAGAAGTGAACTTCCTTTTATGGGCTAAATTGAAGAAGTGAGCTTTGGCAAAGGAAAACATAAACAATAGTCAGTTGAGATTTAATTAGGATCTTTATTGAAATTGAAGAATCTGAACAGGATTTGAGGCCACAGGAACATAAGCAAGAAGCATGAGTACATGACGAAAGGTCAGGAACAC